TATGGACTTTCATTTTCTCTATGCCATATAAAGAGCTTATGCATATGGATGTGGATCTAATGTGCATATAGGTTTACAAATGTGGGCTTATAATATGGTAGAAGTTGCTCAAATGGCAGATCAAGCATGGGGTGGAAAGTCAGACCTGAGTTCAAATCCTGGCGCTCTCACTTACGAGATGAACATATTATTTAATTTCTTTGGGACTGTGTCTTCATCTGCAAAATGGGGGAAATAACTGCTTTCAGGTTGCTCTGAAAATTAGTTATAGAAGCAAAATATATGAAATATAATAGGTGCTCCACAAATGTTGCTATTAATTTAGTTAGAAATCTATATGCACCCATCAGAGTATTTTCATTTCTTATTTAAATATTTTAAAGACAAGCTTTCCAATATGCATTTATCCAAATTTGTTCTTCTATCTCCCATCCAGCAGATATCTCTGCAGGAATCCAGTAAGTTAAATGTAGCAGTCTGTCTTCATCCTTCAAAAGAAGTTTAAATATAAATCAAGAAGACTTCAAAGACCTTTGCATGAATTTGAGGCAGTTATGATTTTACATATTCTACAAAATTCCCTCTTGATAAAGTCCATAGAAATTAGAAATTAATATTTTAAGTTCCACTGCATTTCTATTTTTAATTCTTCTGAACTTTCCATTAAAAAAAAAACTTCATTATTTTGTGAACAGAATGTATAAGCCAATAATTCATTTATTTTCCAAGGACCCTAAAGGATAAACTTAAATATTATTTGGGACCAGCAAGAGAAAGCTAACCCAAATCCAACTCTGTGTTGTCTCTAGGCTAAGTGTTAGTGATATTTTATAAAATACCACCGAGTCCTACAAGCTGCCCCGGGTGGGGTGACCATCCTGAAACTCCCCTGAGATGGAAAAGAAAGCTGTTAGTAATTACTTTGCCACAGAAAGGACCTATGAGGATTGTCCGGAGCATCTGTGACATGTGGCCCCCCACCTCCATGTCTCAAACCTAATGGCTCAGCCATTATAAGCATTTACTTGAACTCCTGATGGAACCCTGTTCTCCTTAGAGTAAACTTTTATATACTTAATATTTACATTTGCTTACTTTAGAGTTTTTCTAATTATCTCACTCTTGGGAAGATTTCATTATTTGACACTAAGCTAGGACTAAATTTCGCTCCTTTCTCGGGAATGGTAATAAGGTGGCAGATAAGCTTTCATCTCTTCTATTTCACCTACCAGCTCATTTTCACACGTTCATCTTGTAGCTTCCGGGAGATTTGGCATTTTGCAACACCTGTTTCTGCCAGAGGCCACTGCTCTTCTCAAATTTTTTAGGATATGAACTGCTTTGCTTAGTCAAATCGCATTCCTCGTCCCATAATTGCCTTGGGTCCCCCATTCATTATCAGAGAAGAATCTAAAGTTTTACGAGTAATGCTATGGAGCACAAAGGGAAGACTCCCTTTTCTCTGCTTTAAAAGAAATCAGCTCCATCTAAAAGCAAAACTGTGTGTATTGAGTTGCTTCCTTATTTATCTTGTTTGCCTCACAGATTATACACAATCAATTCCAGAGGTCAGCCTTGAAACGCGGGATATACAGGTTCCTGAGCAGACACAGCTCTGCCTGCAAGCTCTCCCATTATTAGGCTATAGTGCATGCAAATCAATTAAGCAGAAATCGGACAATTGTAAAGGACAACAATTAAGAAAAACGAGGTCATGACAGCAACTGGCAACACCAATCACTGGAAACACAGCCATCATACTGTAGCTTAATCCTAGTTCATTTAGAGATATTTATGAGAAACTCCTAATTCAGAAGCAACCAAAGGAAACAAAAAGGTTGGAGTTTTTTTTAATTGGGATTTTTATGCATTTTTTTTTTTACTTCGGGCGGTTTTTTTTATGAGAATTTATGAGAAACTCCTAGTTCAGAAGCAACCAAAGAAAATAAAAAGGTTGGAGTTTTTTTTAATTGGGATTTTTACGCATTTTTTTTTTTTTTTACTTTGGGCAGTTTTTAAGTCTCTAAAAATACATTAAGGTCTGGCTGGAACTAATGGTAAAACGGCATCAACAATTTTTCTGCTTCTGAGTAAGACATTAAAATTCAGTTAATACTGAACTGAAAATTAAAAGAAAAATGGTATAAGGGATTGGTCTTTGAAATGAATCATCAAACTTAGGAAAATTGTTATTATGAGCAACAGTATTGCTCTGCAGCTACCTACCTATTTTCTTCTCAAAGAGTAATTGTCACAGAAAAGGAAGGCAAAATAAATATGCATGTTCATAAAGCTAATGGGCAGATTTTATAAATATGGGAAAGAGAAAATGCAGACATTCCTCCATAACTGCTATGTCTAGAGTAACTGAAAATTCTGCCAAAACGTATGTAATTCTTCATAGAGAACTCCATTTTTAGGATAAAATAATGAGCTGGAGCTAATATTCAGAATACAAAAGGCTTTTAGTATTTTTTTCAAAGTCATTCATGTCCTAGTACTGGGTATGGTGAGGAGATGGCAAAGAGCAGTTTCTGAAGTGATGCAAGGGTCCTGAGGTCAGAGGCGCTCCTCTACCTCTTCCCCATTTGCATTGTACTTTATGTGTCAAAGTTAAGTTTGCCAGCAGGATGCCTGATCATCTAGCTAGTTTTACAATTTTAACAAGCTTTAGAATTCTCACACATCCCGACTTGATTTTTAATAAAATGGAAACTTTAAATCAGCTTCCTGTGCTTGCAGCTATTAGAACACAGCGGGCTTTCTTATGCGGAAGCTTCCTCTGTTCTTTGCCTCTCTTCTATTGTTTCCCGCCCACACAATATCTTTTTACCACCTTCATATTCATTCATGGAACAATCTAGACAGATTTTACAGCCTACATACACTTAAAAAAAAAAAAAACTACCTACAGGTTTTCTTTCACACATGTGTCTCTTCCATCACCCACACAGGCAACCCCCTTACTCACCTCTTCCTTCAACGTCCCCACCCTGTGTGTGTGCTAGCTCACTTCTTCTTTCCACTCATAGCAGTGCTTTCTTATTTTTTAACCATTTCTCCCTTGTCCCATTTAACAGCTTGCTTTTCTCCCTTTGTTTTTTTTAATTTCCTCTTCTATATCAGTGTCTAAATATAATGTATTATACACCATGCCTTCAGCACATAGTTACTAAGTACTTACTCTGTGCTAGAATACTAGGTACTGGCCCTAAAAGGAGTCTTCTCCACCCTTGTCCTTTGTGTCCTCAAGGACTTCACAGTGTAATGAGAAAAATGGGGGCGGGGGGAATTAGCTATGAGTGCCAGAGGGCTAGGTCTGGCAAACTGGGCTATATTAAATTCAACTCTTTCCATTACAAACAGCTAGATCTATTGGATAAATGGTAATATTTAAAAATGCATATCTGGGCTTACAAGAAAGAAAAAATATGTCCCAAAAGGTCAAAACGTAAGAGGGAACTAAAAATAGAGGGGAGTCCATGAATTGACAAAATCGTGGTATGGATGGGGGCTAAGTGTCCAGTAGCTAAGAGCTTGGGTTTTAATGCCCACAAGAGGCAGAAAACAGGGTCCAGAGTATACATAAGGCAGGAAGCTAGAAAGTGACCCCATACATACAGCCATGTTATAATCTAGACAAATTCCAGAGTGTAATATGGGTTAAAAGATAGTCAAATAGATTAATCAAGCACAACAGAGACCGTAGGTACAAACCCAAATACAGACCAGGAATTGGTAAATGAGAAAAGTAGCATTAAATTCAGTGGGCCCAGCACACAATAAATTGTGCTGGACCAACTGTCTAACCATATGAAGAAACTTAGATTTCCGCTTTACACTGGAACATTTCTAAACTGTTTTCGTAAGATATACTTGACATACAATAAATTGCACACATTAAATTGTACAGCTTGATAAATTTTAACATGTGCACAGAACCACAATCAAGATAATGAACATACCAATCAACCCTAAAGGTTTCCTTTTTTTTATTTTTTAAGATTTTATTTATTTATTTGAGAGAGAGAGAGGGAGAGAGAGAACAAGCGGAGAGAGGGGCAGAGTGAGAGGGAGAAACAGACTTCCCGCTGAGCAGGGAGTCCCATGCAGGACTCAATCCCTGGGATCATGACCTGAGCCTAAGGCAGACGCTTAATCGACTGAGCCACCCAGGTGCCCCAACCCCAAAGGTTTCCTAATGCCCCTTGGTAACTCCTTATTCTTATCCGTAACCTTACTCCCAGGCAGTCCTTGATTTCCTTTTTGTTGTCACAGATAAGCTTGCATTTTCTAGAATTTTGTATGCATGGAATCACAGAATACGTAATCTTTTTCATCTGGCTTCATTTGCTCAGCATAATTATTTTGAGATTCGTCCAAGATGTTGTATTTATCAATTTCTCATACTTTTTTTTTAATTGCTAAACAGTATTCATCATATGGATATATCACAATTTGTTTATTCATTTACCTGTTGGTGGAAATTTGGGTTGTTAGCAGTTTGGGCTATTACAAATACAATCACTATGTATAAGTCTATTTTATGGACATATGTTTTCATTTCCCCTGGTTAGATATCTGGAATGGAATAAATGGGATATATGGTAGGTGTCTGTTCAACTTTCTAAGAAACACCTAACTGTTTTTCCAAGTAGTTACACCATTTCTCATTTCCATCTTATTTAAATAAGAAATGAAAATACTCAGATGGTATTAGGGTAGCACACCCCTCATTCTGTCACACTGAGGAAAATCTCCAAATGCACACTTTGAATTTGCTTAGTCTACTTTCCCACAGGGTAAACATTTTTCAGTCTGGCTTGTGTTGAATACTTGTCTTTAAAAATCAGGCAAGAAAACTTTGAGGAAACAGAGAATACAGAACAGAGTACAGAAAAATTTTTTTGTTCAACTTAGACATAGAGTTTTCTCATAAGAATTGCAGAAATTTTCTTGTTTATCACCTAGATTAAAATGCAGTTAGTAGATAAACTTACCCTGGTTTCGTGTCATTTACCACACAGTGATAGGTAAATGTTCCAAACATCTGAACTCCTAAAATTCCATAAAGAAGCAGAAAGAAAAGGAGGAAAATTGAAACGCTCCAAATTTGTTCTCCCGATCGCCTAGAAGGGAAAAAAGGTAGGCAAAACTTACAAAAATGTCATCAGCTTTTCTCCTTAACTTACATAAAAGCAGTACTTACTTTAAAATGTTTGTAATTCTGGTCCTTGGTAGCTCAAATCGGAAATAAATCCGGAATGCCCGAATCATAATTAGTGGCCGCGGGATCCGCAACATGCCCCAAGGTGACATCTGGTCAACTATATCAGCAATTTCAAATACCTGTGAATTAAGAGGTAAGAAGAAACAAGCTCAGAGCTTCCCTTAGCTTTGCCTGTAGTTATGACAAACACAGATGGCATCAAGAGTTCACCCTGTACTCCGAACTTCGCCCTGCATTATTTTCCACTGAAATGGTCCATTTTGAAGCTATAGCTATCTTCAGAGAAATGAATACATAAACTAATATAAATCCATTGCTCTTACTCATTTCCCATATAATTCATCAAAGCCCAGTTTTTATTACAAAAACAAGTGCCAACTTAGAATACAGAGTAAGTATGCTGAGCCTTCCTCACGAATAATGTCCTTTGGTGGAACTTTTTTAAATAGCTAGAACATAAAGTAATGGAGAAAGGGTTAAGATTATTATAAAAAAATAAAAAAAGGAATTGTACCATTTACTAACAGAGGCAAAATGATAATTAGAAAACGTTTGTCAGTCATATAATAGCTATTAAATGGAAAAGAACGCATGAATATGCAGGATGAAATCATATTGTTGGAGAGGTAAGCTTTGTAAAAATAAGGAGAGCTCATCAATAAGCACTAAGATGACTTTGCAGGATGGACTGTGAATTTATTCTATTCTAAATTTTGTAATGAAGAATATACTACCTTAAGTTGAATTAAATGCAAAACTGAGGCCTAAATGAATGCATGGAAATTAATTCTATTATCCAGTAAAATCCCACCTTTAGCCTTTTAAATATATGTTCCCCATTTCTCATAGTAAGGCATTTTCTATTTGCGATATGGTATTTTATGTTCATTCCAATGTATCTATATTTGTCAGCTTTTTTTGGTGAGGACTCAGTCACATAAAAGACTGGAATTTTAATATTTAAACTCAATTTTTTTATTCTACAAATACAGAAATCTTACCCCATTTTCTGTCCTTCATTTCAATAAATATTTTTATATCTTTTTAATAAGAAATAATTTGCTATAGTGTTGATGATTGAAAAACAATTCACAGATGTGACTGACAATGATTAAAATGTTAGTTTTTTATCATAAACATTTAAAATAACATGATGTTGAAGAAAGTTACACCATCACATTTGACATATATTGATTATTATTTTTATTTAGAGTTTCAATGCAAAACAAAGCACATTTTGGAAAATACCCCCATGTAAATTAAAAGTTTTAATTACCTGTAACACCAATGAAACCCAAAGGCAGAAGACCATAAATCCATCAAAAACACACCAGCGATCTTTCACATAGGAACTATCCCCCTAAAAATAAATTTCACATGGAGTTATGCAAAATTAATAATTTCAAAAAACATCTGTGGAGAGAAGGGTCATGTGTTAATTCAGTATAAGCTATCTATAGTTTTTGTATCAGAATTGAAGAAACTTTCAAAAGGAATACCTTTAGCATTTTATTTTATTTTTTATAAAGATTTTATTTATTTATTTGACAGAGAGAAACAGCAAGAGAGGGAACACAAGCAGGGGGGAGCTGGAGAGGAAGAAGCAGGCTCCCTGCTGGGCAGGAAGCCCGAGGTGGGGCTCGATCCCAGGACCCTGGGATCATGACCTAAGGCAGACGCTTAACGACTGAGCCACCCAGGCGCCCGGTGGAATACCTTTAGCATTTTAAATGGCATTTTATATGAAGAAAATAATTTATGAAACACAAGTAACTACAGAGCTATGCATGGAAAATTTTAAGTTCACACAAACAGAAAACACCACTATTTTTTCTCTTAGCCTCACAGATACTACCATTTAAGAAACCAGAGGTCATCCCACTCAGTAGGCAGCTTAAGTCCAGCTTTCTTCCTACAAGAACCAAGAGCAATAGTGGTCAGCATGAAGGCCTTTAAACCTGTGGATCAACCACCATAAGTATGGAATTAACCAGGAATTCACCTCGAGCTAAATTAAACATGAAGAAACAACTTGCCTTCATTAGCAAATATATCAAACATATATTGACTTTAACTTTAATTGGAATCACATGTGATAAAGAAGACACACTACTTTCATCTTTTAATAATGAATCTACTCTGACATTAGAATGCATATTTTTATCAAATGGGAATTTTAGAAAAAAAAATTCCCTTCAAATAACAAAACAGAAAACCTCCTTAGATTAGAATTGGAACCTTAAATAGGAAGACCTTTGCTTTCTTAGGACTGCCCCATTAAGTCTCTAGTTCCATCATAATCTATGAAACTCAACTCTGAATTCGGTGACATCTACCATTACCAGCTCTGACTGAACCTGCTTAGAAAATAAAAAAGGAACAGAAAGCCAAGATTTTAAATAAAAGGATGAAATCTGTTATAGGATATTTAGGAAAATAAAATAATTTCCAGAACCACCTACCCTTATTAATAAATAGGCTATCAAAAAAACTCCTTGAGAAGTTTTCAGAAATAATCTGTATTATTCACAGAACTAACATTATGATAAACCACTTCATGAAAGTTATCTGACCCAGATGTGAAGTATAAATTCAACTTAGTTAATACTGAGGAATCATCTACTTTACATAAGAGGATGTATAATGTCTCCTGAAACACACACACACACACAGCAATCTTGCATAGAAAAACTGATATGTACACACCCAACTAATGTGTAAGATAGAATAACTTATAATAAAGCTATAAACGTGGTGGGGAAGATAGGAAGATTAATTCTATGGAGAGTTTAGAGAAAACAATGCTAGTTCCCAAATGCCTAAATAATTTTATCATTGGTAAGAGAATCAACTAAATTTGGTAGTTCGTATATTTGAGAAGTTCACAAAAGAGGTATGAAAGCAAGCCTGAGGCTTGGGGTCTGGGTAACTAGGAGGACAATGAACCCGTTAAGTGTTATGATCAACATATGATGATTAAACGTGATGACGAGAAAAACTGCACCTTGGGGAGCCTCTGGTTCTCCTGAAACACACACACACACACACACACACACATCACATACAGAGCAAATAATTTAAGGATATGATCGTTGTCCTCAAAACCTCACAAAATATCACAAAATATCTTTTACTACAAGCATCATATTTGCCTTGTACACTGCATAGTTAGCTGAAAATATAAATTAATTATAATCTAAATATAGACAATATAGCAGTTCCTGCATAGTGTGTATTTCAGTTGCATATTGTATATAGCATACTGTATATTCAATTGCAATATTGAATATTGTATGTCGCATGGCTAGCTGAAAACATAAATTATAATCAAAATACAGACAATATAGACAATATATAATTGAATTATCTCTGAGCCTAATTTTAATTGATAACCAAAAAGATAATGGAACGCAAATTATTTAAGACACATTTTAAAGATTTTTATTTATTTACTTGTCAGAGACAGAGAGCACAAGCAGGGGGAGCTGCAGGCAGAGGGAGAGGGAGAAGCAGGCTCCTCGCGGAGCAGGGAGCCTGATGTGGGACTCGATCCCAGGATGCTGGGATCATGACCTGAGCTGAAGGCAGACGCCCAACCGATTAAGCCACCCAGGCGTCCCTAAAGTTACACTTTAAAGATTCCCTTGAGTTTCTTAATATTTATTGTTCAATAAATTCAAAATTTATTGTTCATTCTGTCATTCATTCATTCGTTCACTCAATGTACAGAATACCGTTATGATCTAGACAGTGTTTAAGGCAGTAATGACACAGGAGTGAAAAGAAAAACAAAAACTCCTTATGTGATTTACCTTCTCAGTTTAAAAAAATGTTAAGTCTACAATATATGTTGGTAAGTATTATGAAGAAAAATAAAAGTGTGTATTTTCAAATTGACTTTTACTAAACAAATGTACTTTTCCTGGAATGTTAGGAAGAAGGAAAGAGAAGTATCACTTGATCTTTATTTTAAGAACTAGGCATAGTTGTGATTGTTTTAAAAAATGCAAAGAATTCCAAAAACAAAAGCTGAAATTTTATGGGACTCAGCAGAGAACTATTTTAGAGTAGTTCTTTTTTTAACTTTTTGAGGAATCTCCATATTGTCTTCCCGAGTGGCTACACTGGTTTGCCTTCCCACCAACAGTGTAAAAGGGTTCCCCTTTATCCACATCCTCACCACCCCATGATCCAGTAATTGCACTACGAGGTATTTACCCAAAGAATACAAAAATACTAATTCGAAGGGATACATGCACCTTGATGTTTATAGCAGCATTATCTACAATAGCGAAATTATGGAGAGAGCCCAAGTGTCCACTGACTGATGAATGGATAAAGAAGAGGTGGTTCATATATACGATGGATTATCACTCAGCCATAAGAAAGAATGAAATCTTGCCATTTGCAATGATGTGGATGGAGCTAGAGAGTATTATACTAAGCAAAATGAGCAGGTGAGAGAAAGACAAATACCATATGATTTCACTCATATGTGGAATTTAAGAAACAAAACAAACAATAATAGGGGGAAAAAGAGGCAAACCAGGAAACAGACGCTTAACTATGGAGAACTCACTGATAGTTACCAGAGGGGGAGATGTGGGAAATAGGTGATGGGGATTCAGGAGGGCACTTGAGATGAGCACTGGGTGTTGGATCCAAGTGTTGAATCACTAAATTGTACCCCTGAAACTAATACTACACTGTATGTTAACTAACTGGAATTTAAATAAAAACTAAAAAAAAAAAAGAAATTATGAAATAAAAACAGAAAGACCCCAAAAAATGAACTATTTTAAAATAGGAACAATTAAATGTTTGGCAGAAAAAGGATCACCAGGATCAACTGGGTACACAGGCCCCTAATAGGATGAATTTATATGGTATTTTTCCCAAACAGTATTATTTTTTCTTTTTTGTCATTAAAAAATAGTGTCACTCCAATTAGCCTCCGTTGTTGCTCATAACTTGCTTTAGTAACAAATTATATTCAATAAGATACGGGATGAGATCTCATTATATTTAGGATTATTTAAAATGTAAAAGTGAGAATAAACAGTGATATTTCTCGGGAAGGGTACCTGAGTGGCAAGGGTCCAAAGAGGAAAGAGAAACATGCTATTCACATTATACTCATACATGTCTTTGACTAATGTTCATGTGTTTTATTTTTTTAAATAGATTTTCAAAATGAAATTTTTAAAAAGATGAACATTCTAGCTTTATCAAAACTTAAGTTTTTTTGCTTTTAAGTTGGCACAAATAAAGTCAATTTTGAAAAACTGGGGCCCCACAAATTTAGAATATAAAGCTATCAAAACAGAGGTGGCTGAATTTTTGTTTCTTATTTACTTTATAAATTTGTTTGCTAAGGAAATTGATGTTGCCATGATGACCTACAGTATATTCTCAACTATATAAAAGGATGGATTATTTAAAATCACTTTAGAAGCCCTGGTGGGGATCACAAATAAAACAAAAGTATGCAAACATAGTCTAACTCAAATGAGCTCACAGTATGAAAACTGGCTTAGCAAAACTTCCACTACATAACATAGAAAACGATTTCTGAATTAGGAAGTCATTTCAGTTGCATTGTTTGGAATGTGCTCTGCTTTAGACTTTCCAGCAATTCATAATGGCACTTACCTGTTGCCAACAAGACCACCACACACTAGATGGTATGTAATGGCAATTAGAACTGGCTTCTTTTGACTTTCCTGATAATACATGTGAAATAAGCCACTGGGACAAGTTTATATATTACTTTTTGGCTCATGTTCCCAAGAGGTATTTAATATTTATAAAAACCTTTAATAAGCAGTGGTGCCGTGAGCTGCAACACAAAGACCAGTAACACTCAGATGTCCCCCCGCCCTTTATTTATTTATTTATTTATTTATTTATTTAAATTATTTATTAGAGAGAGAGCGCAAGAGGGGGTAGGGTTAGAGGGAGAAGCAGACTCCCCGCTGAGCAGGGAGCCCGATGCAGGACTCGATCCCGGGACTCCGGGATCATGACCCGAGCCGAAGGCAGTCGCTTAACCAACTGAGCCACCCAGGCGCCCCCCCCGCCCTTTATTTTTTAAGTTTTGCTTTTTAGTGTTCATTATTTTTTTTTGAAAGATTTTATTTATTTATGAGAAAGAGAGAGAGAGGGAGAAAGCAGGGAGAGGAACAGAGGGAGAGGGACAAGCAGACTCCATGCTGAGCCACGAGTCCGATGTGGGGCCTGATCTCACCACTCTGAGATTAAGACCTGAGCCCAAAGCAAGGGTCGGATGCTTAACTGACTGAGCCACGCAGGCTCCGTGTTCATTATTCTTCATGCTGTTCTGTCTTCCTGAAAAATTCT